GATCTTTGGAAAAATGTTTACTTATAATACGATTCAGTAGTAAAAAATAGTTAGTAAATACAAATAGAGCTAACAACCCATTAAAATTCTCAGTATTTTGAATTAATATTTTTTGGAATTGTGAAAAATCGATTTTCAAATCATTGAAATTACTTTTTTTATTATTATTATTGCTTTTTTGTAGTTAAATTTGGCAATATCGAATATTTTCGGTCGCATTCCTTTCGCTGTTGCAGATCCGTTTGCCAAACATTACATACAGCGGATTTTTCATGAAAATTTACTAGGTATCATGATTATAAGCATCTTTGGTAGATTGTTCGAACTGTTGCAATCAGTGCACAAAAACTGTGGCATATGATTTATAGCATAACCCGCTGCCCTATCAACCCAAATTTAACATACAGGTCGCCTAGTCGTGGGGATGCAGTAATCGGGATGAATATCACGGCAGCAACTGATGATTTGGGTATGTCTGGTAACAACGTATGAAGTGAAACTCGCTAACTTCACAAATTTGAAGATTTTGTACAATTTATTTGAAAATGATAAAAGATATATCTGATTTGGCAAGGTTATGTCACAGCCAAATGACAGTCGGTCTTTCTGGACGCTGGCCAAGCGGATTGAAAAGAACTTGTCACACAGTTACGTGTCAGGATGGAGCGATTGTAACTGACTCGAAGGCCAAGGCTGAAGTGCTTGCCAAGATCTTTGCTGCCAACTCCACCATGGACACCCCTCAACAAAGCTTCTGGTGCGGACTTGATTATAACGAAGAGGTGTGCAGCGAAGCATGTCCAACTTATCCCAAAAAAAAAAGGATCTGAAACCGACCCTTACAACTACAGGCCTATAGCTCTGCTTTCTGTTATAAGTAAGGTGATGAGAGGTGCATAAATCGTGAGCTTCTGGACTATCTCGAACGTCTCGGCTTGATTAGCGACAGGCAGTATGGTTTCCGACACTAGCGATCCACAGGGACCTCCTAGCTTACGTCACGTAATTGTGGAGTAAGCTAATCCACTATTACGGTGAGGCTTATGTCGTTGGTCTTGATATCACGAAAGCGTTCAGTCAGCTGTGGCACGCTGCCCTCTTGCAAACTTCCATCCCATGACCTCCCAGAAAGGCTTGCAGTTGGGTGGCTGACTTTCTCTCTCGCCGCAAGGTATCCGTCGTGATTGACGGGATCTCCTCTTCATCCCGCAACGTCAACACGGGTGTTCCCAAGGGATTGGCCTTGGCTCCGACACGGTTCTTCTTTCATATCAACGACCTCCTTTCCTGTACGATCAACCCAATTCACAGCTTCACTGATGACAGCACCCTACATGCAGGAATTCAGAGTGACAAGGCGATCTCTGCAGCTGAGCTGGAAAAAAGAATATTAGCGACGACTTCCTCTCTGACTGCTTGGGAACGCAACAATCTTGTACAGTGTAATGCTTCCAAAACACAGTACTGTACCGTGACGAATAATAAGCGTCCTAGCGCTCATACGGTGTTCCGATGGATGGCCGGGTTCTGCCAAAGAGCCATCATTCATTTAGGCTGGTCGTAGTCCAGATCACCGAGGACTTGATCTGGCACGAACACATCTTGTCAGTAGCGGCAGCTGCTTGGAAAAAGCTAGGCTATTTGTTTGGGGCTAAGAAGTACTTCCGCATGACCTTCTCACTCTATACAAGGCCCAGAAAAGGCCTAGCCTCGAGTATTGCTCACACGTTTGGGATGCCGCCGCTCCGACTATATTATCTATGCTCGATGTTGTCCGACTGATCGATGAGTCTTCTCTAACAAACAGTCTCGGGACTCTTTCACATCGGCGATCAAGTTCTCTTCTACCGATACACCAACGGGTTTTGCTCCTCAGAGTTCTTTTCCATGATGCCGCCGCGGGATGTGCCTGCCATACAGACCCGGCTGCTTCTGTACAAAAAAATGACTACAGTAAGCTTACTACTTCCATTGTATGTTGGCTGGGAAGATAGCGCAGTATAATCACTAGTCGCGTTCGGCACTTGAAAATGCTTTAAGTGTAATAAAAGGCGAACAGCGGACAAGTGGAGAAAAAATACAGAAAATCGCTAAGTCTGGCAACAGTGTTGTTTTGTCCAGATGTCACGTGACTCAGTCGCGACTAGACTAGTGATGGGACATTTTATTCATACTGATCGGTGCAAGAAAATAATTGAATGACTCAGCACACTGCAAGTGGGAAAAATGATTTTTCTTAGGTACCAGAAGGAACTAAGGAACAGTCAAATAACAATTCCATCTGACACGCATGCGGCCCGCGAACTCCTTTCTTGCGGCCCGCTTCACGGGTCATGTATACATCACATGTATAAATTACTCTCAAATACCGAATATGCATATACCTATTAAAACTCAGTAATAATGTTGTATAGAAAGATTTTATAATGCGGCCCTCCAAACTGCATTTCTTATTTGAAGTGGCCCTTGGGCCACATTAAGTTGTACAGCCCTGTTCTAGAACATCCAAAGGTCTGCAAAATCTTTGAAAGATTTGAAAATCTCCAAAAAATATATAAACGTAGCCAACAGTCAAGCGAGTCAAAAATCTTTCGGAAGCAAGTACCTACAACCACAGGCTCCAGGGGCGCGGGGGAAAGTGCAAAATCTCTAACATGTGAGTCAGTTTGAAGTGAGATGAGATTATAACTGAGAAAGTGGCCAAAATAGAAGCTACTGAAATCAGCCTTGAGTGGTCTAAACTGTTACATATTACCAAGCTATTCAATCGCGTTTTCTTTCAGTGAAGGTTGGACTGGTGCATATTCCAAATTCTTATAACAGAACCAATTTATATATTCATGCTTTTTTGGTGCGCATTTTGAACTAGTGTTTCACTCAGTGTAGAAACATACAGAACTTGAAGCAACTCGGGCTGGTGTTGTCTACTGTCTGCCTCGATTTCCATCTTTGAATGCAGCCGTGCTATTTGCTCGTGGTTTACTATTATTCTTTTCGATGATTCATCATAGTAACACGAAAAAGGACAAAGTAACGAAAAATATGCTTCATTGACAGATTACTGTACGCGACACGACATGAGAGTTGTTTAATGTGGTTTTGGGAGCAACTTCAGGATCAAAAGCATTAACTAAGGTAGAGTATTTTAAACACAAAAACTGCGCTAATTTTATCAGAAGAAAACACTACATCTCTGAGCCACAGAAGCAAAGCGAATCTCAGGCTTTCGATTCTCTCATCACTAGTGCGATGAAATGACAATTTGTCCCTCCTTGGATTACTTGAAATAGAGATGTGCTTTCTAGTTCTTTGCATTAAGTTGCATTCAGTTCTAGGAACTGGTTTGTGAACAAACTACTTTATGCAACAATACCACAAAAAATATATGTAGGTACCGAAACAGAGCAGATATTCCAGTCTGTCAGTCGAGATAACGTAAAAACGATTCAATTCATATCTTTTAACCGTTCCAATGCATTCCACTGATTGCAAATGTATCCTCCCATCACTAACATTGTGAGACACTAATTTCAAATGTCAATTCTTCTTTGGTCTATTTTCCAACGTTACCGTAGTCTATGTTTTGTGGTCACTTGTTGTTTTGAGCTTGTTGTGTTATTTCGGAATAAAAAGTGCTCCCTCCAAGATCTTTCTTGGGCAGAATTACGTATTACACTGTCGTGTACAGTTAAATCTGCACTAACCCCGAAATACGTGGTTATGTTGAGTGTACCATGTACCATCTCCGATGGTGCGACTGATACACTGAAATCAAAAAAAAAAACTGCAACCGCAATTGAATGTATGAATGAAATCTTGAACAGTTTCGGATCAGTGGTGTCAAAATGTCGTTGAGGAATTGGAAAGAAGTGTATGAATGTGTTGAAACGCAACACCTAACAAAAATTTGAGTGAAAAGACTTTTTCATGTAAAAATTTAGAAGTGCAAGTTTGCAAAGGTAGGGTAAACTATTAACACCCAGTAGGTGATGTTGAGTTAATAAAATCACATATGGATTACAAAAGTTGCAATAAACATGGAGGAACCTTCAGCTAAGCTGAAAAAAAATGGATTTTACTCAGCCATCAAGCATTTTTTTTTAATTTTGGCTCAGTTTTATATAATTTCATAATATTTAATAAACTGAAAACATTTCAATGGCAAGCTGTCACTTCATATTTTACAGTGTTTTGTTTTGAATACTATGGACGCTTTTTGCTGCCAAAAATTTGACGGAGAGATCTTGAGGCTGATTGGGTATATTTGACGGACTGTTTAGTACTCGTACCCTATTCGTGCAGAATAATGGTTTGTCAAATGGTGAAATCGACCCTAAGACAGTTTGAAACATAATTGTGTCTTCAGTTCGCGTGCTAACTTTATAAACAGTTCAGCGTGTTTCACTATGGAATATTCTTTTTTATAAACTTTGAGGCTCATCTGTGACCGTGTAAAAATGCTGCTCTAAATATGTAGATACAAGAGTATGAAGAAATCTTGAAAAAAATTGTTTTCTTCCTAACAAAAGGTGATAAACGCATCCGCTTTGTTTTAAAATGTGTATAATAACGTATGTTTTTCTATCTATCGTTTTCATTATTTAATGATTTGCACCAGCTATTTTTTCAGTTATTTGCATTATTGCGATGAACAGTATCACAGTAACTTACAGTGTATGTTGTATTCATATAATTTTGAACAATCTTTTATATAGCTTATAGCAGTATTCTATACCACAGTATTAGCTCCCAAAATGCAACTTTGAAGTTCTATAAAATAGCAAGCAGAGGGTTCCTTAAAGAAAAAATGATATTTTCGTGCAAGTTAGATCCTAATCTTTCATTTTAAAATAAGAAATGAAATATTTGCGATATGCGCTAAAGTATAGTTCAGCCGAGGATTGCGATGAATAATGGCAGTAAGAAACGATTTTCTCACCAGCGCTAGCAACAACGGCTTAAGTCATGTGAAAGTGACAATATAATACTATATTCCGTCACTTTGACACTATACTTTTTTCTAACTGATATGCTCGTTTGCATATTATTCCTAGTTGTTTTAAGCGGAGCAGTTGCTCGAGAGGTAAATACATCGTATTTTCGGTTTAGGAACGACAGACTTAACAGACAATGCGAGGATGCTGTGCTTAATAAGGAGAAGAATATCATTGAAAAACCAGTATACATAATTTTGATGCTCATATTCATAGTAATATTCCTACTACTATTGCTTGGTGTGATAAAGGGCTTATTGGGATTATTTGTATCAAAACAAATTGGAGAAGCAGGACTAGGCCTATTTGTGGACCTCCCAACACATTTGAATCAGTGCCAAGAGAAAGAGCTCAAACAAAGGCCAGTCGTTTATGATGTAGCAGGTTGGCCAGTCAATCCAGACACCAGAGAGAGAAATGTTAGACTTCTACCAAAGAGATTAAATTTCTGTTTGAACGTGATATTCTTCTTAGCCTACCCTTTGGCTTTAATCTTAAAATGTTGTGCAATGTGTTGCTGCATTAGAGAATACAGGGAAGGAGATGAAAAGCGGAGTTTCAGGAAACTGAACGCTATAAGGACCCACAAGTCTAAGGATTTGGTTTCACTAGGAGCAAAAGTGAACAAATACGATGAGGAGCAAAAAGAGAAAGACGATACGGATTATGTGTTAAATCAGATGAACAAAAGTCAGTCGTCTTTACATAATAATAGATCTACCTATGGAGAGTAAACAACTAAAGTCATTAACTTCATCTGTGATCAGATGCACAATTTGTTCCCAGTTCTAGAAAAGCATTGCAATAAATAATATTGATAACTTTATGCCCTTTTTTCCATACAAAATAAACCTTGAACGTATTGAATTACAATTTTACAGGACTTTTTAATTCTAAAATAATGTAAACCAGAACTGATACAAAATATTCTGAAAACTCAGACTAGGCTTTGTTTTTTATTGATTGAGATACACATTTTCACAAGTAATTACACAAGTGCATCAAAATTACCGATAATTTTTCATGGAACCGTGTTGTCCGTATGAGTTTAAGTTTATTTTCATATTTTGGCGAAAGAGCGCTCGTCCTTAGGAAAAAATATGATAATAACCGAATGCGGTTTTTTTCTGACAACATGCTTGAATGGAAAATTATCAGGTTTACTTTGACGCACTAGTGTAATCGGGTAGAATATTTCCCGAGTTGAAAGAGTACAGGTATGAGTTAGGTTCGAAATTTTATTTAAATTTACATTAAGTAAGTAGGTACATAAAAATTACAGAAAAATTGACAATTAAAATGAGACAGAACTTATCGAAACTAAAAATTGCATGAATTGCCGTTGAAAACACAGTAGTAAAATTTAACGATCAAAAGAACTTACCTGAAGTTCGAACGTAATTATATCGATCGTCCATTCCGAAGATGTATTTAACTAAGGTAGATGTATTAATTAAGGTAGTACGCCGCTGTGTACGGGCGCCACACATTTTTAAGAAGTAGCGCGAGCGTGGAAACATCCCCACTCGCTCTGTCCCTGCCGCTGCCTGCTGGTACCTGCCGCGTGCCGCTCTCGAGCCATTCCTTCAAAGCGATGTTTGCAATGCATGTGCGTAGGGTGAAAAGCATTGCTTTCTGGGAAGGGAGGGTGGTTACATCTTCGGAATGGACGATCGATATATTTACGATCGAACTTCAGGTAAGTTCTTTTGATCGTTAAATTATATCTCACGTCCATTCCGAAGATGTATTTAACTAAGGTAGATGATTAAAGATGAAGCCGCATGTGCATTGCTGGTTTTTCATGGAGCAACGGAAAAATCCCCAACTTTAACTGGGAAAGGATTCATTGTTATTTAGTGAAAAGAACTTAACTAGTAGATTAAAACACCAGATGAAACAGGTTCAACTACACATTGACAATAATGTGTTTGCGAAGTCCTAATCTAAAGATAATGGTCGCCCGTAGAACTTTGCGATGGTTGAAGTCTTTTGAGACCAGCCTGCCGTTTTGCAAATACTTTCAACCTATAGTCCAGCCCTATGTACCGCAGTCGTGGACGAATGTCGGATTGAATGGGGTTTGAACACTGCCGTATCTATTCCAGCGGATGTCAGTGTCTGCCGTACGCAACGACCGAGGGTTTGCTTCGTAGCTTTTTTATGTGGTTGCACATAAGTGAGGAATAGAAAATCTTTATTATTTCGGATTTCTTTTGTCGCTTCTAAGTACTGTACTACTGTTGTCGCTGGACATATGCTAGGATTTTGCGTAAAAACGAAAGGGTCAGAAGGGGCTGGTCTTTCACATTGAATGAAGTTTTTATAGAATCTGTAATCATGATTTGGAGTCTGGTTTCTTCCATGCGGATGTTTGAAACCCTGCTTAAAGAAATTGTTTGTAGGCGACCACCAGTGACGAGTGTCAGTAAGGTCAACACCTTGTGGGTGAGGCTTTTGAGATTCTCACCCAGATTCCCTAGCGATGTAAGGACCGGTTGTGGGTCCCAGATGAATTTATATTTTGGTTGAGTTGGTCGTCTTCTTTTATGAAACGCTTCAATTTTGGGTGTGAGCCCAGGTTTTCAGGAGAGATCAGCGAAATTGCCGATCTATAGCTATTGATGCTACCATAATTCAGTCCTGTTGGGTCGATGATTTCCTGGAGGAATTCTATTAGTTGTAGTGCATTGGCCTGGAAAACTGGTATTTGCTTCTCTCCTCAGTACTTGCACCACAAACGGTAAGTACACGAATACTGGCTAATCGTAGCTGCCGAAATAAAATCCATGACAACAGATTAGGGTCGGGTCCAAAGGTAATGGAAGGTCCTACTTGTAGTCTTTTCATAAGAGGATACCACGCTTGGGCCTTCCAGTCTGGTATTACAACGACACCCTCAGTTCTGTCTTGGTTAATCTTTTGTAATACTATCAGTATCAAACAGAGTGGTGGAAATGCATAAAAGTATTTATTTGACCATCTAATAGTAAATGCGTCGACTGCCACTGAATCTGGGTCCTTCCTTCAAGATACATAGCGTTGACATTTGTGATTTATTTTTGAGGCAAAAAGATCAGTTTCTGGATGACCAAATTCGTGTTCTATCGCGTCGAATGCTGAGGCTGACTGGGACCATTCTGTTTCTACTGAAATCACCCGCGACTCCTGGTCTGCCTCGTGATTATCTTTAGTGTTGATGTAGGAAGCAAAAATCCAGATATTTCTATTTTGACAAAATAGCCATATGTCTCGTGTCCTGTTGTTAAGCTCGGTATATTGAATGCTGCCAAAGCGGTTAATACAAGATATCGCTGTCGTGATATCTAACCTAATTAGAATACTGCAGTTTCTTGCATGTCGAGCAAATCATTTCAACGCATACAGTACAGCTGTGAGCTCTTAAGTAATTTATGTGTTTATCTATCTCCAAAGGGGACCAAAACCCATGAGTTTTATCGCTTCCACTACACGCGCCCCAGCCAGTCAGAGAGGCATCGGTTAAAATAGACATACTATATTCTGGTTGTCTAATATCTGCTTCCGAATTGAGGATGTTTTGTTCCCACCAGACAAGGTCACTACCTATGATATCTTGTGGCAGAACTATTATACTGTCATAATTGTAGTTTCCCATCGCTAAGGCTGAGCATTTTGCTCATTCCAGTCTCTTGGTATACAACCCACCGTACTTGACCGCAGGACACGCCCGTGAGTGTCCCTATAAACTGTGCAAGTTCCCTTATACTGCATATATCTCGTTTTTGAAACAAGGATCACAAACTTTGAATGTATTTTTTCTTTTCGAGGGGTAAAAACACTGTCATATTGATAGTGTCGTACTGGAAACCTAAGAATACTTTGTTCTGTTTTGGTAACAAAGCACTTTTCTCACAATTTATGATGAACACTAAGGCCTGTAATGTAGCTATAACTATTGAAACGTGTTGTCTAGCTCTTTCGGACGAGTCGCTGATGATACGGAAATCGTCCAGATAGTTGACTAATAAGATCCCTTGGGTTCGCAATTGCTCGAGTAAAGGCCTCATCACTTTAGTGAAGCAGTAGGGTGCTGATGAAAGACCAAAGGGTAAACAGGTAAATTCAAATGTAGCGGAATTGAACCTGAATCTCAAGTACTTCCTGGAAGATTTGTCTATTGATATTAGAAAATATGCATCCTTCAGGTCAATGGTTGCCATCCAGTAGTGCTTTTGCAATAGTCTCAAGACTGCCCGGAAGCCCTCCATTTTGAAGTGCTCATACTTCACGAAGTTGTTGAAATTCTTTAAATTCAAAATAAACCGATCCTTCCATTGGATTTTTCGGCTAAAAAATAAGATGATAGATATTGATCCTGGCTTTAGTTCCTTGACTGCCTGGGCCATTGAACGGTCATGTTCGATGTGAGCCCGTGGGTTATTATGATGTTGCTCAGGAGGTATTTCTGAAAGTAGGATAGTGGATCCCTTTATCCAGGACAGAACTGTAGAGTTGTTTGTTAGAGACTTCCATGCCCCCATGAAGTGAGCTAGCCTTCCTGCTGGTTTGAGGTTACTTACCTTTATCGGTATCTGTTTACTGGGAGGCGACGTTGCTTGGAAGCTTGCCCTTTCCTCGACCCCGTGTCCCTCCTTGACTGACGAGGTGGGTGTTGCCTGTTTAAAGACGTGTGGTAGCTAGTCTCTATATGGAGTGCGAGAACCTTTGGGGGTGTTACACTGCCGCTGAGAGTTGTGCCCCCTCCCCTCTTAATGCCAGAAGGTCCAGCCTTGTTCTTATAATAACTGTCTGATCGTAGATCATTTCCAGTTTTCTCCATTATCTTGGCCGTCTTGATTTTTTCGCCTAAATCGGAACCATACAGATATTCCCCCGGCGTGGTATCTTTGACTGTCTCTTTGACTGATTTGGAGAGAACTTGCGCTATGTAATCACGACGCATCATTGAGATCTCGTAAAGTAGTCGAGTCGTCAAGGAGCCCGCGTCTGCTAAATGAGGCAATAAATGCTTGTTCAAGTCAGACTCGGGATTATTGTTGATCTCCTCGATAACATAGTTAAAACATTTTCCAAGGGCACTAGTAGTTTTTGCCACCAACAATTGATACCTAGTTTGAGATTGGTCTCTCTTTACATACCCCTGAGAAAGGATATGAATCACTTCCGAGTTAATCTTTGGAGGGTTCAAAGTGGGGAAGTTATGGGAAGCCAGTGCCGATCTAGGAGCTGTTCCATATTTTCTTTCCCTAGGCCCTGCGCCACTGTCTGAGACCAAAGCTTTGTTATTGCGTCGATAAGCTGGTACGATTGAATCTTGTCTGTCTCTAAATCAATACCTAGTGCCCCTTCCATGCATTCTGGGAGATGGTCTCCCGCACCCTCAGTATCTTGAACAACTGTCTCCTCTTGGAGCACGAGTGTGTCCGAATCCCCCGAGTCCTTGTGGATAGCTAGTCTAGTGCGGGATGCCGGACTAACTACGCTCACCGAGTTGTACGAGGCTCGGCTTGCGTCCTGTCGATTGGTCGGGCTGTTCGAAGCCCGACGCTCTCTTGGGGCATTTGTAGGATGTGATCGTACAGAGGTCGGGCTGTTCGAAACGCGACGCACTGTCGATGTATTCCTAGAACTCAAGTACCTTGAGGAGGTTGCACTGGATCGACGTTTTTTGGAAGCTTGTTCCTGCACCGAGGGTCTTCTGTGGGGGGGAGCACGTGACCTCTAAGTAAGGACGCTTGGGCTGCGTCGGCGTGAGTGTGATCTACGGCCGCAATCGTACTCTCTCAGTCTGTTGCGGAGATCCTCAATGGTTCTCTGCTTGTCTTTTCGTGAAGGTCGCTCCCTTGTGTTTTCCCATGCTAGAAAGTAAGCCCTGTATTTGAATTAATACTAACCTAGCTTAATATTATTGTTAAGCAGTGATTGGTGAGCAGCAGTTTGTTATGTCACTATGAAAGACTATATTTTTGTCTAAAAAGGATTTACAAGTAGGTAACCAGTTATTTTATTTCTCTATATCTAGCCCTGTACCTATTTGATTCCTGTTAGTTTATATACGGGAATCTGTTGCGTATCAAAACGCTGTTACTGGAGTTTGTGAAGATACAAAGAGTACTTACTCAGTAGGATATTGTCCTTGTCAACACCAGTCACTAGTCACAGCGTTCGATCCGTGTTGTTTACGTATTGTGTGTAGCCGAGTACCGGAACGTGTAGACGCGTCACACACATAAAAGCGAATGGCTCGAGAGCGGCAGGCAGGGTTGCCAACACTTCGGTAATCAAATCTACTAAATCACACTGCCAGATCTACCAGAAATCTACTAGATGAAAATTATGAATTTCATAAATCTACCAGAAAATCTACTAGTTATAGCTAACCCTCATTTTGCAGTTAATTACGTTTTAGGTTTTAAAGGTGTGTGCGCATATTATGTATTTTTAGTTTTTACTCTAATTTAGATTTTTGGACATATATTATTTCAAATTAGTAATACTATATTGTGAAAATATATTTTGTAAATATTGAAGATAAAGGTAAATCTATAAATAAAAGCAGAACATTTAGTAATATTGCAAAAATATATTTTATCTAGAAACGAAACAAAAATAGACGCATTAATTTTAGTCCTTGCACGAATAATAAAAAATACACTTTCTAAAAATAAAAATAATTCACTATTAATACAGTCAAATCTTGCGTTTTCCTTATGCTTTTTGGATTCACCATGGCTCTTAAGGTCGGCGTAATGACTCGTAATTATTTTACTACAAAATTTGCATTTAGCTTCCCTTCCTAAAGTGCTGTCAATAACCAACAGCCATTCTTTTAAACTAGGGTCCTTTAACCATGCGTCTCGAAACTTTTGAGTATATTGCGGTTTAGGCATGGTTCTGTAATCTGTAATACATAATAATTCAAAGTAATCTACTATACATCATATATGTATCAGTATCATGCTCACTTACCAAAATCAAATAATTAGGCAGGCAGTCTTAAAATAGCAGAATAGTATGCTATAGCTACTAGAAAGCACACAAATTATACTGTAAATAATGTTCAAAAATCACCTAAATCATCGTATACGAGATAAACTTCAATTGTCTGTGCAAGAAAAAACAATGTCTGTGATTCCCGTGGATGATGCTCAGAACGTGACGTGATCAAATCACGTGACAAAAAGATGGCGGCTGAATTTCTCGCGCCATCTACCGAAGGAATTGGCAAACATCATGCAGTTAGTGATGTGCAACCCCAATAGATGTCCCAAAACGAGGCGCAAAATCCTTCATCTGACTTTCATACCCCTGATTTCCGACAAAGGAGAACTAAGAGAAGAAGTACGCATACGCAAATTAATTCATTGGTTCTGCCATCTATCGATTCGATGTTCAACTAAATCAAAATAGGATATTTCCCAATGACAGTTTGCTACTTTCTTGAATTATTACTTCAATTGACAAATTGACATGAGTAACTAAGGTTCATAATGATATAAATCGAAAGTGGCTTACTAATTATTCTGATTCTTTCATTCTACTGGATTTTCTACTAGCCACTAAAACGTAAATTTGCCCACTAAATGAAGACTGCAATCTACCAGATCTAGTAGAAAATCTACTAAGTTGGCAACCCTGGCGGCAGGTACCAGCAGGCAGCGGCAGGGACAGAGCGGGTGGAGATGTTTCCACGCTCGCGCTACTATTCTTCTAAAAAAAAGTGGCGCCCGTACACAGCGGCGTACTACCTTAGTTATTACATCTACCTTAGTTAAATTCATCTTCGGAATGGACGTGAGATATAATTAGTATTTTTGGAGTCTGCTGCACTACTTGTTGATGTATTCGAGTTTGCTATTGATTTATAACTTAAAGAACTTATTGTAGGCACATTAGCTTCATTAGTTTCTTTATTAGGGTTAGCTGTATTATTATCCATCATTTTTTCTACTATGCTTGAATGGTGTTCCTTGTCCAGTTGGAGATATGGCGCTATGGATTTCGTATTTGAATGTCCAGTATTTTTTATCAATGTCTTCTCTTCAACCTCGTTCTTTGCTAAGTTAGAAATAGCTGTTGCACGCAGTGAATGATTAGTTATTTTTACCTTTTCACCCTCCAAACCTGACTTTTTGCCTCCCTTGAAGTCCACTGAGTGACCATGTTTTTTCCGACAGGGATGTTCTTGTACCACTTGCCCAATTTTCCAAAAGGATTAACAGTTAAGAAAAATATCGGAGTATTTATGTAATTTCTCTTCTCCATAACATTCTGAACAACCTTACCGGAGACAAATCCAGGTTAACTATGTTTTTAACCAGCCACTTGGAAGGGCACAAGGCGTTGTTTTGTCGAATATTGGGTTGTATTTCAGTCTGTTAGTTTTTCCCCTGCCTTATTAATTTCTTCTTTGAAGTAGGAAGTTAAACATTTTACACCGTCAGAACAAAATGTTCCTTTTTTTGTAAGGCATCAGGCGTGTGTTCGTCACAGTTCTGTATCATGGCTTTGAACTGATCGTAATGTTTTTTTTCTAGGGGGTTTGTTTATAACTTCTTTCTTTTGCCATTTTTTGCATCGCGGCTGATTTAAATTCAGTGTCAGTGGAAGGATTAAATTTAATATATCCGCCCTGACATTTTTCTAATAGTTCTGAAGTAACATTCCCCACAGTCTTCACAGTAAAAGTTATAATCTTCACTATTATTATTTTTTTTGTTGTAGGCCCAGTCAGTGAGAATATTCGCCAGCATCGGTATTGTAGTGTTTTCTAAACTATAATTCCTTTCTTTGATAAAATCCATAAACTGTCTCCATATATACGGGACAAGTGATAGAATAGCTTATAGCTAAACTTCGCCCAATAAAGACGTTTTATGGATGAACTATACTTTAGCGCATATCGCAAATATTTCATTTCTTATTTTAAAATGAAAAATTAGGACGCAACGCACGAAAATATCATTTTATATTTTCGTAAAAGTTACATCCTAATCTTCCATTTTAAACTAAGAAATGAAGTATTTGCGATATGCGCTAAAGTATAGTCTTACCCGTTTTATTATTATTTCTATATACTGATGGTTCAGAATTATATTTTCAGGTTAACTTTTGATCACTTGTTCTTGATGTTTTTGAATTGAACCCATTTCCGAAACGTGACATTACAACGACTTTTAAAACTCGATATTGATGTCAAGATGACAAATGCCCATTTCATCAATCGTAACTATAGATACCAATCTATAGGAACATTTTCCATACCTACTGGGCAATTTTCATAAGTCATATCATAAGGGCATCTAATTTTTTCGAAAAAAATCGAAAAAAATACGTTGCTAAGTAATATTTTAACAAGAAGCACGAGTGCAAGACGAGGATTTTTGCACCCGTACGAATCTGCATTCAGGTAAATCGGAACATAACGCGAGGTGAAAAACACATTTGAAGCTCCCACCCCACGTTATACATAGTTTCAGATTTGTTAACTTGTTTTCGTCCATTGCGCTTGATATTCAAAACGTCACTGGGTGCTTGCTTCTACTTGCCTCAGTGATTCAAGTTGTATAACCGAACATAAAATGTTTTTTCACTACAACCTGAAAAAATATGTTTTATCGAGGATCGATCTAAATTGTCAGCTTTGACCATCTAGAGCAAGACGTAGACATATTTTAGACGTTTTACTGTGTAACCTCTCCAATCTTTGAATACCCATACGCAAAAAATGATCAGAAGGTCAAAAACCATACCAAAACGATTTTTTTTTCCTGACATTCCATCAGATTTATAAAGTTTAACACAATTATTTATATACTATGAAACTATACATTTCCAAGGTTCCAGATTTTAACTAACGAGATCCATGACAACGTCCCATAAATGCCTCTCAAGTGAATCAACGATTATCGCCACAATTATATGATACTCGTAGATACATACAATCACAGGGACATTACAATAGACAACAAGAAATTGCGCAAGTTAGGGAATTTAAATATTTAGGAGTCTTAGATGAAAATCTGACTTTCTCGAATCATGCAAATTATATGTTAAAAAAGTTACAAAAAATTTATTATTTATGTAGAATAGGTAATAATTTAAGTTCTTGGTCTAGACTTCTAATCTTTACAACAATTGTACTGCTCCAGTTCAATTACTGTTCTACCATTAAGTATGTGTTTCAAAAGAGTGATATAGAAGTCTTACAGAGAAAACAAAATTGTGCATTAAGACACATATTAGGTTGCAATAGGCATACAAGAGTAAGAGACATGTTAGAAGCTACAAAACTATTGAGTGTGAAGCAAAATATTTTGTTAAATACAATGACTGTTATATATAAGATAAAAAATGGTATGTACCCGGAATATATTTTAGAAAATCTGCAATTAGTATCTGATATTCACAACTACATTACAAGAGGTAGACAACATTTTTATGTAGCTTGGGTGCATTTGAGTTTTGCACAAAACAGTATGTTTCATAAATGTTTAGTAGATTTTAATAACCTTCCAGACTATATAAATAAAGACTTTAAATTTTGTTAGCTTTAGAGAAAGGTTAGGAAAATATATTGCGGAAAACCATAGTATTATATAAGTACAGATGCAATAAAGGATTGATTGATTGATTATCTTGAGGTGTGGAATTTGGTGGGAAAACTACTTGATGCGGCGTGTCGGGGCGAGCAAGGCCGTTCAGTCCTGAATATCCGAACCATATGTACAACGTACAACACTTGTAAGCAGACCACGGGATTTAAAACGATTGTTTTGGATAGCCCTTTTTTTGGGGAGTGCCTTTTCCGCATTTTACATCTATATGCTTTGCTTGTCTACTTATACCATTCATTCTCTCTCATTCATTGTTAAGTATGTCTGTATGGTTACGACTTACCTACGTGTATATCAATAATGAAAGGATATTTGCCTATGTTACTATATTCTGATCCAGTTCTGAAATGACACGTTGCTCATGAGTACCGCAAATACAATCAATGCATCGTTTCTAGCGGAATAACAAAGAACACTAACAAAAAAATGGCGCAAACTAGATTGACTATACTTCCTATGTCCGAGCCGTCCTTATCGGATGAGAGGCCTGGAGAAAAACATTTTTGCGAGGCGTTTTTTTTAAGAAGGATGAAGTCATTTCATCTCAAAACACGCCAATTATTTACGTGATTTTTTTCATTTGCCAGGCGTCTTTTTTTATTTTTGATGTAAGTATACAATATTTCGCACTGGGTAAAGAATTGAGATAAGAAAGAAATACGATTTATGACTGTGGTCTTATAATAATGTTAAGGTCTGCCAGGAAATGAATGAATTCGTATAAGAAATCTTATTTTGTTATCAATCATAAATAAGCACATATTATAAAATATTCATATTATTTACACATTCTATTATTTGTTTGGTATTCTTAAGTGGTCACGTTTGTCAAGTTTCTTCAGTTTTTCATAATCTACGCGCGTGATTCAACTGACAAGAACGTTTTCACTAAACTAATGAGCCAATTGAGGCACCGGGGAGATCATGTTGCGACAGGCTCGTCGGTGCGTCAGTGGTGTGTGAGACTGTGTCGAAATCGAATCGTGGTTAGGTAGGCTCACTTGAGTACGATTAATCTTCGACCTCTATATATCATACTACTTATATAAAATAAAGCTATCATTCTATTTCCATGGCAGATGTAGAGAAACAGGTGTTAACTGGTTATGTCTGACAGGTGCATAATATTACCCGGATCAGAAACTTCTTAATAATTGACACTGACACCAAACATGCAACAGCAACACGCTGAAACTGCGGTCGAAAAATGTGAATGCCAAAAGGTAGGGCCGAACAAGGACATCCTCAACATATAATTAAAACAGATCAGGGTGAAAACTGCTACAGTATACGCTTCGGAGGCTGGAACATCTGTATAAAGCAGTAGTTGATGGGTGGAGATTTCAATTCGAAGTCGACAACTTGGGGCCCGGGTAACTGACAAAAGAGGACAGCTCTGAAGAAATTCTTGCTGCAAGGAGCCTCGTCACAGCAAACAATGGTGGTAGATATTAGACATTACTTTCCATTGTGAGAACCAGATTGGTACAATCAAAAACTGGAATGTCTCGATGATGAAAACATAAGCGACCATAAATATATTATGTTTGAAATAACAACTAACAAATCTGCAGTTAGCCCTATGGAACAAAACTGGATGATTACAAGGACAAAGAAAGTTCAACTGCTGGAGGATGTAGTCATAAGAGCATGTGATAACACTTTTGGCTTTTGGCATGGTCTACAAAAATGGTAAAGTGAGAGAAGCAAAGTATTGGTGGGATAATGAAATAGCACAAAAAAGAGAAGAATGCCTAACTATC